TAGTGCCTGCAAGTATATTTCAAGCAATCACACTGTATGTATTTCTCTATCCAAGTATGATGAAGCAACAGCATGTTTTATTAATAAAATCTGTAATTTATAATTTATATAAGAAAGTGTGAGTCGTTTGTCAAATGAAAAGATCACGAAATTGTTGTTGCAACATCCGATTTGTAACAGCGTGTGTTTGTCTCTGTCCGAGAAAAGACGAGAGACCTTGTTGTCTCTGGTTTTGTCTCTGGCTCTGCTCTGACTTTGGCTCTGGTTTTGTCTCTGCCTCTGACAGAGGAAAGAAACCCGATTGCGAACCGATAATGATAATATGGATAAATTATATGGTCAACAATTTCCAGGGAGAAGATAGAATTTATAATATAATAGATAGAATTTATGTCTATTACTCAACGCGATTTTCAACCAACATCTTCCGAACAGTTTACGACTTTTTAAATCGATTCAAAATTGTAGGTTCAAAAAAAAAAATTACACTTCACTGCGTACAAAGCTGACAAACGATAGTTTATAGTCGAGTTACATCGAATGGCTTTAAAATTTTTAAAATCGGTTCAGTCGTTTATGGGAACACGTCAACGAAGGACATAAATTGGCTTACATACACACATACTTTTTTCAAATTTGGTGTCATTCAATTCAGAATCTAACAAATCAGAATTTTTCTCGAAGACAAACTCATCCTCCGTAAAGTTATATTAATACTTAATATCTTGCGTTCATGTATATTATAATAAGTTCTTATTATAATATACATGAACGCAATAAGTTCTTATACATTTAATATTAACATTATATTTATATTAATAACTGTAGTGTTGAATATTGATTTTATTTAAAATATTATATGCCATATAAAATATGTGTAAAAAATCTGCTTAATTAATAAAAATTAAAATTTGTAAATAATCCATCAGACGTTTTTAGTTTCTGTATAATTCTGCATAAATCTTATTGGATTTATTTAAGGGGTTATTTTGATTAATCTTCTTTATTAGATACTAATGTTAATAGCATGTATTGAAACATTTATTAGAAATGCATAGTGTAGGGAGGGCACAAAAAAAATACAAGCAGTCAATGAATGTTTGTTAATTTTAATTACATGAATATATGATGATGAGTGAAATTGTGAAAATAATATTTGTTTAGGAGTTGTTGAACATAATCCACTTTGTGAACGAATATTATAGAAGTTATTAATCAGCAATTTCTCTAATGAAGGTTTATTTCTAAATGCTAATTACTAAAATAACAAACCGATCATGTCATATTTGAAGTATAAATCCATACTTATACACATTATATAAATGTGTATAATGGTCGACACTAATAAATGTGTGCATCACGAGTGTTACCATATTACTAATAAACATTATTCAAAATTGTCATATGATGTATTTATTTTTACTTAAATGCTATCTTGTACAGTATAATAAGTTATACTTCAATCGCGTATGAACCTTACGCGCACTCTTTTTTTATATAAAAGTACCCAAGATCTATTACAATACGTTAAAAGACTTAAATCTAATTATTACCTATCTAATCATACCGTACGATACCTAAGACCACCAGTTCCTACTATATATATAAATCTATATATAATTCCTATTATATGTAATCTATTACCGCTTCATACCTATTAACCTATTATATATAACATACACCCTACATATCTTTTTACCCCTTACAAACCTTACATTCTACCGTTTATACGCTATATCTTACGCTTATCTATTATCTATTGTCTCTACCCTATACTCTATTGTCTATCGCCCACACCGGGAATCGAACCCGGAGCCACCGCGTGGCAGTCCACAGCTTTAACCACTACTCTATTGGGTCCCCCACAAATAATATATTAAGGGACGCACTGTTTTTCCGCGGTGCCTTTACCTATTAATTAAGTAATTAATACTAAGGCGACGCGACGACACGCGGAAAAAGGCGACCAATCGTAGCGCTACTGTGGTCTAGTGGTTAAGGTCGCTGCCTGCCACGCAGGGGGCTCGGGTTCGATTCCCGGTAGGGTTCGGAAAAATTAGCGTTTAAGAAACATTATAGGTGTAAGATAAGAAATAATATTGGGCGTGTTATGTATATAGGGTTGTATGCGTATTAGGCGTATTGGGCATATTAGGCGTACTATATAGTTAGTTAAAAGACAAAGAATTTAAGGTTTAGGCATACGTGAATATGTTATAGGTATCTTATAAGAAATACATGTTATATGATAATCGTTAGGAGAATTTTGATACGGGTACTGTATAAAATGCATTTTTATCATATTAACAACTCTTTAAATATTATTTTATTCATGGCAAATAAAAGAAGCACGTGACATACTCCAACATTTAATTTTTGCAGCCACGAGTACAAGTTTTGCAGTTTATTAAATAATTTAAATTCAAAATAGGTATTGTTGAACTAAGAACCCAAAAATAAATTTTGCTTAAAAATACAATTTATATTTTTTCACCAATATAAAAGTATATACCAATATACATGTGCAGGCATAGATAAACAAGTGTGCAGGGTTGTCCTAGAACTCAACCAACATGTTTGTATTTATGTCTGTTCGTCACGTTGTTTTTTTTTGGATAAATTTATGAAATAAACATTATAAGAACCATGTAAATTTTTAATGCTACTATAAATATATAATTTATAATTTATCATTATATAAATATGTATAATTCATTCTTATTGTTACTTTTATTAAATTTTTACTCTTACTCTTATCAAATATTACTCTTACTCTTATTTTTTTATCTAAAATTTCATCTAAATTACTAAAATCAATTTTTATTGATTAAGTCTATTATTTGTACAAGCCGAAAAGTCAATGCAACTTGCCGTAAGGCCAAATGCCTATTAAATCCTGAATGTCCTGTTTTCGTCCTTTCGTGAATTCGCCGAAGACATAGAGATGTGCCCTCTAGTAGAACTTTCAGCTCTTGGGCAACGTTTCAAAATTTCACGACAGATGTAGACTGAAATTAAATGATCTTTCTGACAATTCTACAATTTTGACAGAATTCTTTACAAATGTGACAGTTTTGGCTAAATTTATAATTTAGATAGTTCTTTTAGTAGTGTCCTGGTTGGAAATTGTATATAATTGGTTTTTGTTCGCTAAAGTTAGGTGTGTATAGTAACAATTTGTTTCATGAGTTGTGTTTGTTATTCTAACCTAATTGTATGAACAATATGTTTAAATTATTATCATATTATGTGCCTAAATATTTTTGTAAATATAAATTAACCGATAAGTAGTTTTATTGATTTTGGAAGTGGCATCCGCTTATAACGATTTTTAACAATTTGACTTTCTGCTAAAATGCTAAATAGTTGTCTTTCCAATTCTTTTACTATTATTTCTTAAGTAAAATATGTCGTCTCCTATTCGCCGAAAGTGTTTTACAATCGAAGAGAAAAGTGCCATAATTCAGCGCCTAGAAGCAGGTGTCTCCAACGCCGAAATTTCCAAAGAATTCGGCGTCGGCCATTCCACGGTTTCTGCTATTTGGAAAAATAAAAACCGAATCGAAGAACTAGTCCAAAGAAATGTATTAAATTTGAAAAGAATCCGGGGGCCCACGCAAGTACAAATAGACCAGGCCTTGTTGCAATGGGCCCAGGAGCAGCAGAATCAGGGGATTCCCGTGAATGGGCCGATGTTAAGGAAAAAGGCGCAGTTTTTTGCTGCACAATTGAATATGCAGGATTACGTGTGCACACCGAGCTGGATAAATCGATTTAAGGCCAGGCATAACTTAAAATTTGGTAAGAATAAAAATGATGGTGCATCTGGGGACTGGTTGAAACAAATTTGGCCGAATTTGCGAGCCAAGTTTGCTGATGACCAAATTTTCATCGCTGCGGGTACTGAATTTGATAGACAAGATAAAAAATGTAGTTTTATGGTTTCTGCCAATATTAACGGAACTATCAAGAAAAATTTGTTGTATGCTAGCAACTGGGAAGAGTTTGCTCATCCTAAAGGGACAACTGTTGATTATAATTCTGAACTCACTAAATGGCTACAAATTTGGAATCGCGATTTGTGCACCGATAACAATAACATTTTGCTGTTAGTGGATAGTAGCACAAATCCCCCTCCAATTTTAGGTTTATCCAATATCACCTTAACTCCTGTACCTGATGCAATCATCCAACCTGTCCAGCAAGGCATTACAAGCACTTTAAAATCCAAAGTCCTGGACGCCACTTCTAACACTGATATCATATCAATTTTATCCGAATCTTGGCAAAAACTACCAGACTCAGTAATATCTGATTTATCCAAAAGCGCCGGATTTTTATCACCCACAGATTTGGAAGATTATGATCCTTTATCGTTTTGCGAGACAACTGAAGACTCCTGCAAACCGGAAGAAATTTCTGCAGAACATTTGGATAGTCCGGAAATTAAATCGGAATCGGAAATTGATATCCAAACTGGTCCGACTATCGAAGAAGCCTTGAAGGCTGCGGAGACTTTAAATATTTTTGTTCATTCGAATTTTGAGGACGAGACTATGATAGAAGCCATGGTTAAAATATACACTTTAATAAGGGATAGTTATTCCAATGGAAAAAATTCCAATGGGGATAGTTAATAAATATACACCGATATAAATTTAAAGATTCTTTATATAAAATTATTTAAACAAAATTTGCCAATGTTAAATTAAATTGTTGCTATAAACATGACGAAAAATAAATCTCGGTCGTTATATGCGGATTTTAATGTAAAATGTATATAAAGCTAAAATTTTTGTAAAAACTTTGTAATAAACATGTTAAGTAATAAATATTTTTGAAAACAGTTTTTTTTTTTAAATTTCAATTAATATATACATATTTAACAAGCTTTTTTATTTCTTAATTAGTTTAAGGGAGTAGTTTTGAACGAAAAATCACGAAATATCACGTGGGGGAGGAAGGAGTACCACGTGTTTTTATTTTTCACCTGCTTTTTTTTAAAAAAAACCAAACATTTTCAAAAAAATCTAAAATTTTACAATTTTTTCTTAACTAAAAATACACTTAATGTTTGGTGGGGGAGGTGGGATAATTTTAAATTACCCTACCAAGAAAGAGAGTGGGTCCAAAAATCTTAAAAAAAATCGATCACGTGATTAATGGGCGCCCTCTTTACAAAAAAACAACTGAACTAATTTCAAAAATTTAAAAGCCATTTTAACAAAATTTTATAAGTATACTTTTTGGCTGGTTTTACGCGATGATCAGACGGGCCGTTTCTTTATAATAGTAAATAAGTACAGAAATTCTTGACAAAAATTTTAAACCGATTTTAAATATTCAAAAGCAAAAATATTAATTGCAAGTCGTACTGATTAGTTTTTTTGTTTAAGATCGTTTGAGACGTTTCTTTGCCATCAATTTCAATGAAACTAGTTTGTTCAAATTCAATACTTGGAATATTATGCCAAGAAATTAGGACTTTTCTTAAATAATTTTTAGAATTTAAACTATTTGTTGAATATAACTTTATTGCTTGAAAAGTTTACACAAAATTAAATAATCTGCCTTATTTTCTAATATCATAACTCCTACAGCAACTTTGTATACTTATAAATCACTCTTAAATGAATAAATTGATTTTTTAGTTGTATTCGTCAATTTTTGCACATAACTATCAAGATAATTGCATATAATTATAGCACATAATTATTGCACATAATTATTAAGAATTTAATGCAACTTGCCTTTAGGCAGTTTCACCTAATTTAGGAATAATTTTTTAATCTTTTGAACTTTACTTGAGTATGAGGTAGGAGACAATTGTGACAAATAAATTGCCAGGAAGAAAATTCATAAACAAAAGGTTTTGTTCAGAAAGCATAATTATCTATTTTAAATTAATATAAGTTGCAAAATGCACGTTATCAGCGGATTCTACTACCAAATCTCTATGATGTACCTTTAAAATTTAAAACGAAATCCAATAATTTTCAGCCATGTCAATTTCCCCGCCAGTCGCCCCACCGTTACCGCCCCAATTCGACGCCCCCTTAATAACTTTGCAAGACTTCGAAAACAAGGACCTGTCCACAAACGGCTGCCTGTGGGCCTCACAATTTCCAGAGCTCCAATGGACCTGCAATATCCACAAAATATCACAGGACAGACCTCCAATAAAATGCACTTACAGGAAATTTCAACCCCAGAAACAGGTAGGACCCACCTGCGGCCTTGTGGCCCTTTCGATACTCTTGGGAAATAAAGTCACGGCCGAAGAATTATTGACCCAGGCCAGGGGTAAAGGATACAGTATTAATGGAGAGATGTTCAGTGCTAAATATTTGCTGGATTTGTTGGAAGAGAATTTAGACAGGGGCGAATTCGGGGAGGGTTGTAAAGTTTGGTTGCACGAAGGTTCTATAGAGACTGTTGATGTTATGCAGTTTTTGCTGGAAGGAGGAGCTATGCTCGTACCGTATCCTTTTGATAAAAATAAGTCTTGTAAAACAGGTGTAAGTAGAATTTTACCTTAAGGGGGAGCGTGCTTTAGAGGCTTTAAAAAATCGATCTTTTAGCTAAAATTTCCAAAACTAGCCAAGAATATCCCTGAATTTCAGAAACAAATTCAAATTATTTTCGGAGTTACAGAAGAAAGCCGAACGAAATCTTCGACGCGCGATTTCTCAATTTTTCATTTTTTCGATTTTATAAAATTGATTGTAATCAGGATTAAATTCTCTCCTATTTGAAACTAAAAAACCCTTAAGAAACGTTATGATTAACCCACCTTTTAAACAATCTTGAGTGAAATTTTTTATCAATGATTTTTTAAGTTGGAAAAAATTGGTGAATTTCTCACTTTTTAACTTCCCGAAGGAGAAGTTTGTTTTCATCAAAAAATCCGACTCGCTAATTTTATGTCTTCTCGACGTTTCAAGCCATTCTGAATCGAATGAGACCAAATTTAAGGAAAAAGTATGTGTGTGTGTGTGAACAGATTTTTTGCCGTAAATCGATGTTTTCTCAAAAATGGCTGGACCGATTTCAAAAATTTAAAAGCCAATCGATGTATTTCGATAAGGACTATCGTTTGTCAGTTTTGTGAGACGATCTGCCGTGCCGTTTCTTTGTAAATCGCAGAAAAGTTATAAATTTTGACAAACGCTAAAAAAACGAAACCAATTTTTGCAAACTTTGACGAATTTTTAAAGTTAAACGAGTTGTCGTAGGGCCGTAATATTTTAGTATGATCTAGAAGAAGATGATGGTATGTACCGTCAAAAAAATAATAATAAAAATCGTCGGATTTTTTTTTTTAAACACCTTATTACAAGAAAACGGCCCGGCCGATCTCTACCAAAAACTAATCAGCACGATTCCCAACCAATATCTTTCGAACGGTTTTAGATTTTTCGAATCGATTCAGAATTGTGGGCTAAAACGTGGACGAAAAATTCTTCTCTTTTTTGCGATTTACAAAGAAACGGCTCGGCCGATCGCAAAACTGACAAACGATAGTTCTCGAGATACATCGAATGGTTTTTTTGAAATTGGTCCAGCCGTTTTTGAGAAAACGTCGATTTACGGCAAAAAATCTATTCACATGTACACACACACATACACACACATACATTTCCCCTAAATTTGGTCTCATTTGATTCAGAATGGCTTGAAACGTCAAGAAAACATAAAAGCAGCGAATCGGATTTTTTGATGAAAACATAAACTTCTCCTTCGGGAAGTTAATTATACTAAAAGCCTATCTGGTAATGAGAATAAGTCTATTACCCTATGTCTATTACCCTTAACCCGTTCCTCACAGTTACGACGCCTGGTACAATCACTCCCCCTGCCAGGCCAACGGCAACAAGGCCCACTGGGCCCTAGTCTGCGGCATAGTGATCCCCCAAGGGCAGATGGCCAGGGTGCTCGCCTGGCATGGAAAATCGCAGAGGCTGGCCATCTGGGAATTGGCCGATCTCAGTCTGAGCAATTCCAACCTGAACGAGTTCAGCCCCAACAGGGAGAGGGACGGGAAGGAGTACATTTTGCCTGATGGGGGCATCAATGGGCCTTTAGGGATCTGTGGGAGGTGTATTATGATCGAAGGGTTTAGGGATGCGGCGGTTAAGATTTGCTCATGAGGGGGGATGGGGATACATGGAATTTGTGGAGTATGATTTTAATGGAAATAACTAAAAACTAAACTAAAAAAGTTTTGCAATATGGTTATGATATTTTTTCGTCGATTTTTTGTATTTTGATTTTAATTTTCTATAGTGATTTTTGAGTAGACGAAATTGTTACATACATATTAAGAAATGTTGTAGAATTTTTTTTTCATAAGTTTACCAAATATTTCATTCATATCACTCAAGTTTTTTTGAAGTTACAGAATTGTTAAAAATATGATACTGGTATAAATATTCTTTATTTAATTATTATTCTTTAATATTCAGTAACAGTTGATTCTATTTGATACATAGGAAAAACAATTTTTCTTAAACTTTTATTTATGTTCAAAATTTTTTTTTATTTTTTTTATACAAATGAATTTATAACAAAAACTTTTCTTTTATCTTAGTTTTTAAAATAACATTTACATATATAACTTAGGGGGCATCTATTGATTACGTGATCGATTTTTTAGTTTGGTCGTGATTTTTTGAATTTTCGAAAAAAACGTAAAATTTGTTTTTTTTTGAAAATTTGGGCAAAAAATAAATACACGTGATATCTTACTAGACCCCTTTCTACTTAACGTGATTTTTTGCGATTTTTTTTTTGTCTGAAATCATTGAATTTAGGCTTATTTTTGGTTAAAATTATTCCATAAATCACATGTCTCCAAAAAAATGCTTGTCGTATTACATTTTATTATTTATTTTAATATTTTGATTTATCGAGTTCCAACTTTATTTAAATAATTGAATTTATTATTTATTATATGGAAAATTCATATTCGGTTTGTTTTAATTTTATATTTTTAAGTTTGACGTTTATTTTTGTATCTTATGAAAATAATAAACTTTAAAAAAATTATAAATACGAGTTACTACTTTTATTAATTAATCCATAATAGATATATTTTTGCCTTATAATAAAATCTAAAAGACTATTCAAAATTGTTTATAATTTTTATTTTATTAAATTATTGCACATTAAAACAACTGCAATTTCAATAATAATAATAATAATATAATAATAATAATAATAATAATTAATAATTGAAATATGTTTATTTTTCGTTAAATTAATTTCATAAATCACATGTCTCCAAAAAAATGTGTGTCGTATAATATTTTATTATTTTTTTTAACATTTTGATTTACGAGTTTCAATTTTATTTAAATAATTGAATATATTTTGAGAAAATTCATATTTGGTTTGTTATAATTTTATATTTTTAAGTTTGACGTTTATTTTTGTATCTTATGAAAATAATAAACTTTAAAAAAATTCATCTCTACTTTTATTAAAGTTATATTTTTGCATAATAATGAAACCTAAAAGACCATTCTAAATTGTTTATAATTTTTATTTTATTAATTTATTGCACATGGTTTTAGTATTATTTTGATAGGTAATAAAAGTATTAAAATAAATTATAATAATAATAATTACTGAATTAAACATATGTTAAAAATATCGTTCACACGATACAACTAATTTAATTAAAAGTAAGATATAATTAGGAAAAATTATTAAAGATATTATTTACAATTTATTGTATGAATGAAAATTTAATTAAAATATTTGCAGAGTCAGTCAGCATCAATAAAAAAATACAATAAATGAACTAAAAAAGTAATGAATAGTGCTTTGAATTATATTTAAGTCCAAATAATTCAAAATAAAAGATTTTTAACAAAGTATAAAGAATACTAAGATAAGTTTTTTATATTGAATCTACAAGTTTAAAATAACTCTTGAAATCTTTGGTTAAAATTTTAGATAAATTTTTATATAATAACAATTATATAATAAAAATTCTTATCGAATATAAATAATTCTAAACAAGATCCAAACCAATCTCTGTAATGCAATCGAAACTTCTTCCTCAGCATCTTTTAAATTTACTATTTAATTTTAATAATAATTTTCTTTTTTTAATTTTCCTATTTAATTTCAATAATTATTTTCTTCCTTCCATCTGCCTTTGTTTTCAATTACCAAATTGTTTAAATAATAAATATTAATAATCTTATCCATATTACTACGTGTACATAATATTGTTGTGTCCAATCGCGCTATTTCTATTCCCTAAGAAATCCCTTTGGTGTCCAGAAATTCCATTTGTCTGGTTCATATTTGTTGATAAAATTTCCCAATTTTCACGATGATTTATGTTTTGATTTTCCGAATAGTTTTGTTGAGAATTTGCCAATGATCCTGAACCTGGTTGAAATGAAAAGGGCCACGTCTGGAAAAAATAAATAGTAATTGATAAATGTTTAATAATTCATAACAAAAACTTTCCCTTTATCTTAGTTTTCAAAATAATATTCAGGTATATAACTGACACCAAAAAAATTGATTTAGGCTTATTTTTGGTTAAAATAATTTCATAAATCACATGTCTCCAAAAAATGTTTTATTATTATTTTATTTTATTATTATTTTTAATATTTGATTTATTTCCAACTTTATTTAAATAATTGAATTTTTAATAGAGAAAATTCATATTCGGTTTGTTAATATTTCGAGACGTTAATAAATATTGCAGAAACTATGAATATTCTTAAAATAAATAGAATTTGTAAAAGAATTTATATTTAAGAATAAAAACAAAAATATGGTATTTTCCCTAGATTTTGCGTGTGCACTTTAACCTAAAACGAGGTGTTGATCCAGGTTGCGGGTGCTTTGTAGGAAAAAACTTACTAATATTTATTTCGAAAGAAAAACGCAACTAGTGGGGTGTATGGCATCGTGTTTTAAGGCAAATTGCTGGAACTTCCCGTACCGTAACGAAATGTTCAAGAAATATTGAATGTTTTCAAATAGATTATTATAAATATTGTAACATTGTCTAATATTTATAAGAATTATATGAACTGAATTGCAATGTTGAAATAATTTATTTAAAGTATATAAGTGTATTTTAGAACTTTAGCAAGCATTAAAATTAAAATCTGAATTATTTTCGGTATAAAACAAACAAAAATTTAGAAAAAAATTAAATAAATTTTTATTCAAAAGCAATTGTTTTGCCAAGTTATTTGAATCATTCAAATCGGATGCTTATTTTTCTCCAAAACTGCTATTTTTTGCACATTTAGCTCCGTATCTCCGAAACGGCTGGACCTGCTTTTGCCAAAATCTAATCAGCACATCTCCCTTTCAATAGGAATCGAATGTTTTTTTAAATTTCTAAAGTCTGTTCATTCATACACTCACAAACACATCTATTTTTTCTGAGATATGCCAAAATGTTCAGAAATCTCTGAAACGTGAAGATATGCAAAAATTTCATATTTATACAATTAAATTGTACGAAAAATATTGTATATTGTAATATTATTGAGATACTCTTATAATTAAATTATTTATAATTCAATTTTGTAAAAATTATTAGCTATTTTTCAATATTATTGGGATGCTTTAATTGTTAAATAGATAATAATTATGATAACAAATGAGTATTAAATATATATTTAATTAATAATTAAATTGCCGGAGTGGTAAGAAAAAAATATTTTGTTGTTGATAAACGAAATAATATAAATTTTATTCATATATAATATTCATATTCCGGAATAGATACCTAAACTACTGAACCGATTTTAAATTTTATGGGCACCGTGTCCATTTATATCGAACTTAGATTAAAGGCAATATTAAAAATCTCAGTTTATATTTGAAATATTGGAATATAAAAAAGATTAGTCAATTTAATTTAATTTAATTTAATCAACAAAACACTATGAAATGACGGTTATCAATGTTTCTGAAAACTTTGACATAAATCGATTTATGATTTACATTTCATTGAGTAAAAACACTAAATATTTTCCCCTATTCACGTTAACCTGAAACAACGCGCTGATTCAGGTTGCAATCACTTTCGGGCAAAAACTTGCCTAACACTGTATTTACACTTTTCGACTTCTTTTGTAATATTTTTCTTACATTATATACTTAGCTATTTTATCCTTATTAGTAAAAGTAAATTTTGTGATATATTTAGCTTCTTTGTTCACTCGAACGTCATCGGTTTTAAGACAAAGTGTTTATTTGTTTCTGCGAGTATGTATTTTTGTTTGATTGCGTTTCGTTTAATGTTTGGGTTAGAGGATTCTCTTTTGTATTCGGGTGTTGAAGCATTACGAGATGTAAATAGTTGTATATATATATATATATATATATATATATATATATATATATAATTGTGTATGTTGGGAAAATCGGTACGAAGCGGAAACGTCGCTCTGGCTTCCCTGGATCTCGGATCTCGGCCAAAGGCAACAGCTGGGAACATTTGCCTTCCTTTGGTTCAACTTCCTTTTTTCTTTGGCGCGAGCTTAACGACACAATTAACATATTACATACGACTCATCGCTCGAAATACATTATTTTCAAACTTTCATCCATAATAATAATATCCACCTTAATAGCAAAGTCTAAAAGTTTACTGCAAATCTAATGATACTATAAAAATGTAGGTACTTGATGATGAAATTGAAATATGAGATAAGATCTTCCATTCTAACTCGGCTTGATTAATTTTTTTTTCTTTACAATTTTATTTATTTTATTTATATATATACATTATTTTTACATCTCTGTCAGACGGAGGTGCCTGGTATAAGAGATTATAAAACATATTTTATATATACATTTCATTTGACTATTTCACTATTATAATATCTATTATAATTGAAATATCTTTATATTTTATATTTTTTATCTTTATATTAAATACGGCGTCAGGGAAAGTTTTTCCCTAAAAGTACTCGCAACCTGGGTCGGTGCGCCATTTTAGGTTAACGTGCACGCGCACAATCTAGGGAAAATAATTAGTGTTTGATTTATTGCATGGCTAAAAGTTTAAAAAATTATTCAATGTTATATATTTAATGAAATCACCATAAACTCGTTTTGTTTAAAATGATAGACCAGTTTTAAAAATAAAATATATATTTATAAATTGAATATTAATAAATCAAATAATATTCAGTTTTTTTGCTTTTGGTTTTATAATGGTAACTGAATCAGATACAATTTTATATTTTCTATATATATATATATATATATATATATATATATATATATCCTTGTCATTTCTTCCTGATGATAATTTCACGCATCATTAAAATCCGTTCGAAAGTTTCTTGTCATTTTCGTGGTGAAAATATAGACCCATTACAAGGAATTTGACCCTATTTGTAATATATTACGACCCCTAAAGGCACTTCAAACGACATTGACAAATTGTCGACGTCGTCGAAAGATTAAAAAGGTGTCGAAAGGATTTTTGCCCATATTTAACATACATAGAATATATTTATATATATATATATATATATATATGTGTGTGTGTATGTATATGTATACATAATAAAATTTTCAACCAAAGTATCAAAGTAAATGTAATTTTTTAAATTTTAATTACCCTTACAAAATTTTTGAATTTTAATTTAAATCATCTTCATAGCGATACAAATAATTTAATTATTATAATATAAATATAGTAACATTTAGATTTTAATCCGTTATTAAATAAATTATTTATATGAACTAAACTTAATTTTAATCAGAAAATTGATTCCACTATTTTTAGGACAATACACGGATATAATTTAAAAGTGAAGTAGATGTTAAACAATACTAAGCAATGATAGTACATAAATGTGAAATTAAAAGGCATATGTGTGAAAAAATAGTCCAAAACCATGATATAAATGCTAAGGACAAAAATAATGGAGAAACTAACTTTAGTTTTCATTTAATGGTCTTGAGGCCTAAAAAAATTATCATTTTATATTTGTAAAGTGTATTTTTTATACAAATTGTTTATTAAGAAATTCGTTTATCTAAAGATGCTGCAACGTTTGAAAATCTTATTCCTTCTTTCATTTCAAAGTTGACATATTAAAAATAAAGAAAACAATCCCGAAACGTCTTAATTTCACCAATCTAGAGATATTTTCTTAAGAATTTTGCTTACGGGTTTTGAAATCCATACCAATCTTTCACACTTTTAGCGTAAAGCACTTCTTAAATAAAATAAAACACATCTTTTTTAATGGAAATATAAACCGAGCATAAAAGTGTAATTTTTTAGTTCACAATTTTAAATCGATTATAAAAATTCAAAAACGTTGCAAGATATTGATTGGGAATCGTGCTGATTAGTTTTTGGTGAAGACCGGCCGAGCCGTTTCTTCGTAATTAATTGTGAAAGCCTTTTTGATGATTTTAATTGAACTTTTTGATTTTTAAGATTCCGAAAGAGAATCTTCTTTTTTCTCGACGTTTCAAGTCATTTTGAATCGAATGAGACCAAATTTGGAAAAAGTATGTATACGTGTATGTATGTAAACCGATTTTTGACCTTTTGTCAACGTTTTCTCAAAAACGGCTGAACCGATTTCAAAAAATTAAACGTCATTCGATGTAACTCGATAAGGAGTTTTGTGCGACGATCGGCCGAGCCGTTTCTTTAATTAGTAGAAAGGTGTAAAATTTTTTGACCACGTTTTAGCCCACAAATTTGAATCGATTTTGAAAATTTAAAAACTGTTTGAGAGAAAGAGTTGATCAGTTTTTGGTAAAGATCAGCCGGGCCGTTTTTTTTGTAATTAAATGTTGATTCTTTTTGACGATCGATTCCGTAGTCTGAAACAGCATAGTAAAATATTATAGGCTTGCGATACGCAGTTGAATTGTAAAAATTCATCAAAGTTTAGAATTTGGCCTCGTGCTTCCGAAGTTCTAAAAAGAATCTGTGCCGAGGCCCGAGGGTATGTCTATGTACGTTTTTGGTGTTTCGTAGTTAGCTATTGATTACAGTAAACTTTAGCGTTTAGACTGTTTTGTATTGGAGCACTTTTCCAATTTTGTAAAAACTATTGAAAAATGTGAAAATGCCGCCAAGCTAAGCACAGTATAACTGAAAATGTCGCACAAAATTATTTGCAAATGAGCTTAGACTGTGACTATACGGGAGCACTTTTTCAATTTTGTGTAAATTAGGCAACTATTTTTTTTTTAAATTGAATTTGAAATGAAATGACGATTGTTAATGTTCTTTCTGGAGATAAATTGATTTATGATTTCCATTTGATTTGCTCAGATATATAACGAAATAGCAAAAATAATGAAACAATAACAGTATTTGTAATAATATATTTGAAAACGTTTAAAATTTCTCGCATATTTCATAACGATACGGAAAGTTCCAGCAATTTGCCTTAAGGCACGATGCCATACACTACTAGTTCTTATTATTACTATTATTATTATTACCAGTGTGATCGGGTGCACCGCCCCGTCCGCCGTACTGTTGATCCCTTCCGTGAATCCGTCGAGCGCCCTGTCCTCCTTGAGGGCGTTCCTCAGGTGGGCGATGTAGCTGGTGGCCAGCCTGAGCGTGTCCAGCTTGGACAGCTTGGTGTCGGCGGGCACCCAGGGCAGCGTCGTCTTTAGGCGACAGAAGGCGCGCGACAGCACCCTCATTCGGGCTCTTTCGCGGGCGTTCGCGGCGTTGCGCTGCTGCGGCGGACTCTTACCTGGAGGATAGAGATAAATGAATTAACATATTTCATTTAATCTTTCTCGTATTTTGAAAATGTATTTTATTTAAGAGTGGACGTAAGAAGCTTAGAAAACACAGAACGCACATATGTTTAGAACAGATTCTTATTAGAATTGGTCAAACGTGCGGCGAAATTCTAAACTTTGATAACTTTTATAATTTAAATGCTGATCGTAGGCCTATAATATTGCAGTATGTTATTCCAGACTATATAATCTATCGTCATATAAAATTTCAACAAAATCGTCGAAAATTAATTGTCAACAATTAATTACAAAGAAACGGCCAGACCGAACGCGATTCCCAATCAATATCTTTTGAACAGTTTTTAAACTTTTAAATTCGATCCAAAATTGTGCTAAAACTGAATGACAAATTTCACACTTTTTGCTAATTACAAAGAAACGGCTCGACCGATCGTCGCACAAAACTGATAAACTATAATCCTTATCCAGTTACATCGAACGACTTGTAAATTTTTGAAATTGGTTTAACCGTTTATGTTAAAAAGTCGAATAAACATTTACATATACATACACATACACATATAGTTTTTTCAAATTTGTTTTCATTCGATTCAGAATGACTTGAAACGTCGGGGTTAACATAAAATTAGTAAATCGTTTTTTTTTCACTAAAACAAACTTTTCACTTTCAATAATTAACATATATTAGTTTTTAGTTAAATTTTCTGTAAGAGCGAATTAATATTTTTTTAAGTATATTAATAAATGTGTAATTTATTTTGTATTTTTAAAATTTACTATTTTTTTATATTTTAACTTTTACGATAATTCTTGTAGAATTATTGAAGAGTAACTTGTTTTTTAACATAAAAATTACCATAGTAATAAAATATTTTATTTGATTATTTTATTCAACTTTGCTTAATATACTTCGATAATTAATAATAATAATAATTTGAATAATCTGCCTGCACTAAAGTATAATTTGAAATTTTAATTAATTTTTATAAATGCATATCATATATATGAATTCCATAATATTTTCTATAATATTTTAGGTGGTTGATTTTCATCTTATAAATTACAAATAACACAAAACATTCAATTTTTTAATAATCAATTTTAAAGAAAATGCCCGAATGAAACAAAGAAATTCAACAGTACAAAATAATTTACTTTTTTTACTGAAAATTTAACTTATACATGAATAATACAATTAAATTAAATTAAATTATTTATATTATACTTAAGTAAACAAACATGCAAATATCGTGTTCTGAATATTTTAATGAATTGAATTATAATTATTAATAGTACCATGGTTAGTTTTTTTTTGTTTAAAAGCAATGATTCAGCATGACTTATATAAACATCGAATGAATGTTCCAGTGAAAATGTAATTTCTTCAATATTTTATAAGTATATATATATATATATATATTATTTAAATTAATTTTTACTAACCACTCGATCCTGAATTTGAAATTTCATCATCGAAACTATCATCAGCTGAATATTGCTCAATCGATTGACGACGCTTAAGTTTTGGCATTTATATTATTTATCACAATAATCACATAATAATAATAATAAAATATTTTTTTATAATTATTTAAATAATTCACTCGTCGCAATAATTATTAAGTTTAAATACACAATTTTATTCAACAAACAATAATGAGTATTGTAACGAATTTTCACTTGATATAATTATATATAGGGACATATATATTAAATATTTATATCAGTAAGTAATATTTAGTAACTAATTTACATAACATTATTATGAATAATATTTATTTATTCAGTAGAAATCACAATCATTTTGTGATTGTTTTGTGTCACTAAATTTTGTCCTTAAATTAAACTAATTTATTATAAACTGAATTTTTTTAACAACATCACAAGCACCAATTTCAATTAATGATTTTCATTATTTATAATGATTATTAAATTATTTATTTTATTTAATTGTTAACAAAATAGTATTTTATTGGATTAATTATAAACTAGTCAGTTGCCTTTGGAAATCAATATTTTTAATATGCAATAATAGTTAAATTTTACACTTTTTATAAATTTTCTTTATTTACCAATTTAGATTTATTTTCTTCCATTTATTTTTTTACAAAAATGTATTTTTTATCTTATTTTTTCTCATTCGGTTATCTCTCGAACAATCTTGTACAATACTAATCTCTCTTACGAAATCTTAAGATGTTTTAATTAGACGTATTAATGTCTGGGCGGAGTTTGGGTTCAAATACATTCTCAAATGTGTAAATAACATTTGTATATGTATATTATATATGTATTTATATATATTCATGTTTCTGGGAACGCCCCTCTCTTGTAAA